TAAACAATGTTTACTGCCCTTACTGCAATATGGAAAAATTAATGGTTCTACTGTCCTCAAATTTTTTGTCCATAGTTCATCTAAAATGTCCATTCCAAGAGCCAAACAACAGTATCACTATAAAAGGAAGATCGAAAAATACAATATAACAGCGGTATGGTAGATTAAACTGGCGAAACCGCTGGGAGGGTTGACCACTAATGAGCCAGGCCCTCCCATTAATTTTTCCATTGCAGTAAGGGCAGTAGAAATTGTTTAATTTCAAAAAGAATCTAACGTGTCTAAAATAGTTTCTAATTTTCATAGTAGGTATTGTATTATTTTTAAAGGAAATTTCGCGCAAAATAGTTTCAACAATCATATAATTGATATGACTCAAATGCCTCTTTATTTCCCAATGTCCCTATATTTAATATTGTAATATATTTCCAATATAGCGCTGTTTTGAATCGATACAAAAAACTTTTTCCAATTTCACCTGATTTGAAGAGCAAGACTAAAGGATTCTAAGGGCCAATTTGATTATTTCAATAAAACAATTGACAACTTTTGACGTTTTATTAGTGAGAGAAGGAGAGAATGATAACGTCAGTTGAGTTTCTCTCTTCAAAGTGCGCCTGTATTGTAAATACGCCACTTGTGTGCCAATCTGGGGTGTTTTCTGCAATGGATTATTCGTATTTAAATTATTAAATAGGTAATTAGAATTATATATATTATTAAATTGTGTACAAATAATTTGTGTACATCGATATAATTTTAGAGATTAAGAATCATAAAAAAATCAAACTTAAATTTTACTGTTTATTTTCGTTGTTATCATGATAATTTTCATTATATATATATATATATATATATATATATATATATATATATATATATATATATATATATATATATATATTAAAAATGGTATATCCTGACCAGGAGCACATGTGCTTTTCAGAAGGCAGAGCGCCATCTGGTGGAACAGAAATCAACTATTCATTGATTTAGCCTGTTCCCTGATATTTGGCCAACCCAATTTCTTGATAAATCAAGAAAAGCCATCCACGAACGCGTTTCGCGCTTTTGGCGCTCGTCAGCGTGGGTTGGCCAAATATCAGGGAACAGGCTAAATCAATGAATAGTTGATTTCTGTTCCACCAGATGGCGCTCTGCCTTCTGAAAAGCACATGTGCTCCTGGTCAGGATATGCCATTTTTAATATTGATTTCAACACCTGATCTTTTTATCTTTATTTTTTTCTTTCGTTTTTTAATATATATATATATTAAAAACAAGGTAGGCATATCCTGACCAGGAGCACAAGTGCTTTTCAGAAGGCAGAGCGCCATCTGGTGGAACAGAAATCAACTATTCATTGATTTAACCTGTTCCCTGATATTTGGCCAACCCAATTTCTTGATAAATCAAGAAAAGCCTATCACGAACGCGTTTCGCGCTGTTGGCGCTCGTCAGCGTGGAGTAGGCTGTACCAACAGCGCGAAACGCGTTCGTGGATAGCTTTTCTTGATTTATTAAGAAATTGGGTTGGCCAAATATCAGGGAACAGGTTAAAACAATGAATAGTTGATTTCTGTTCCACCAGATGGCGCTCTGCCTTTTGAACAGCACATATGCTCATGATCAGGATATGCCTACCTAGTTTTTAATATCAACACCTGGCCCACTTATTATTTATTTTTTCTATTGTTTTTCATATATTTTTTTTTCTATTGCTTTTTCATGTGTTAAGCGTATTTACGCAAATTCGGCCTCAAATACCTATTTCTTGATTTCTCAAGAAGCAATTGGGACCAAAAATCCCTTTGGTCTCAGTGGTTACAGCCTACTCCACGCTGACGAGCGCCAACAGCGCGAAACACGTTCGTGGATAGCTTTTCTTGATTTATCAAGAAATTGGGTTGGCCAAATATCACGGAGCAAGCAAATTAAACGTTTAGTTTATTTTTGCTTCACTAGATGGCGCTCTAACATCTAAAAAGCACATGTGCTCGTGGTCAGGAGATGCCTTCTTTATTTTTAATATCAACACCTGACCCACTTATCTTTTATTTTTTTCTATTGTTTATTCACATATATATATATAAATAAATATAAAGCATATATTGGATCTAAATTTATTAATCAGCCAATATTTCTAGGTAATAAAAAGATTCAGTACAAAAATTTTGAATATCGCGTGAGAACGCCCTTGGAACTTTAGAAAGATTTTTAACGCCTTGCTGAATGTTTAATTTTTGTTTGCTCCTGACGAGGACAAAAGATTTTTGTCGAAACGTCGAGGTAATAAAAAGATTCACTGGCCGAAGTATCTTCATTTTCAAGAAATATTTCTAGGGGCAACACGCCTCTCTTTATCAAGGTTTTTCTTTGATTTAAACTAAATCACGTGGGTATGTGATCCACTCATGCTATACAAGATCAAAGTAAGAAACTATCTGATGAAATTTTCACTGTATATAAAATATATTTATAATTGTTATATTTAATAATAATAATAATTAAAAGAGTATATAATTAAATAACCATTTGATTAAATAAATGAAGATACTGATAAATATTAGAAATTAAAAATGAGTAGGGATTATGATTCAATATGTTGTGTTGATAATATATAAACAAAAATATATTACAAGTATAAATATATTCGAAAATAATAAAAAAAAAAAATAATAAATGAATAATTTAGGAAGATATAAATTCTCTATAAATTTCTGGTAGGTCAATTTTCCTATTTATGCTTTCTGAATCTTTTATAGAGGCTCAGCTTTCTAAATATAATCTGCAATGCTTTTCTTTAATATTCTGGTATAAAATAGATGCTTTGTCAAATTCGGGTATATGACTATTGTTTAGCGCATGGTCTACTAGAATAGATAATGGTTTATGGATACGTAGAGCTGCTTTGTGTTGGTTAATGCGTTCTTTCAATGCTTTGCTGGTTTCTCCAATGTAAGTGGCTGAACAGGTTTTGCATGGAATTTTGTAAATAATATTGCTTTTGTTTACCTTTTTACTATTATTATTGGTGTTTGAGTGGCTTAGAATTTGTTTTAAATATATATATATTTGGCCTTAAATATCCATTTCTTGGTTTTTCAGGAAGCCACTGGGACCAAAAATATTTTTGGTCGCAGTGGTACAGCCTACTCCACGCTGTCGAGCGCCAAAAGCGCGAAACGCGTTCGTGGATAGCTTTTCTTGATTTATTACGAAATTGGGTTGGCCAAATATCAGGGAACAGGTTAAATCAATGAATAGTTGATTTCTGTTCCACCAGATGGCGCTCTGCCTTTTGAAAAGCACATGTGCTGCTGGTCAGGATATGCCTTTTTCATTTTTAATATATATTTATATTTATAATTATACAATTATATTATCATTTCTGAGATTCTGCCCTTCAGTGTAGCATATGTAAGCAGAATGATCCAATACAGTATTAGAACTCTAAAAACGGTCTGGTGGATTAAATTGGCGAAACCACTGGGAGGGTTCACCACTCAAGCCCTCCCAATATATTTTTTCATCGCACTAAGGACAGTAGAAATTTGATTCATGTGTGAAAAACATTCGCGTCTTAATGTTTTTTTTTTTCTATATATAGATGACGTGTTATTGCTTTATATTAATATAATTATATATTTACAATTTACATTAAAGGGTACCCATTTAGAAAGTGGAAATTAGTGCCTATAATTTCAAATATGTCTCAATAAAAATTGAACAAATAAAAATTCAAATGTCTACTAATTAAGAAAATAATTATTTTATTTCTATTAATAATTTATACAACAAAGGCAATCAAGAGATATTTCATAAAAATATTTTCTATAATAATTTATACTTAGTTTATTATTAAATCTGTTGACATTTCAATATAATTAGAGTGCTTTTAAAACTTATATTTCAACAAACATTTTTATAAAATATAATGGACTGTAGCCACGGGAGTCTAATGTTAGAATTGAACAAATATGTTTTTGAACAATAAAAGTAAAACTATGCAACTTAATTAAGAACTGATTCAACAAAATGGCAATAAAGTAGCGCGCAATCGTCTGGAGAAGGAATACACGTTCTAAAAATGAAAAAAGGTTTTGAGAATGACTCGTGTCTGGGTGCCTAGAATCTGTCCCATCGCCTCAATTTTTTAAATAAAATAGATCCATATAGTTTTAAGGAAAAAATAAAATACATTTTAAAAAAAGATCAGAAAAAACATCGTCAATCATCGTCAAACATCTTGCTACTAAGCGTTGCTGATGACGTGAGAGATTAAGAGAGAGAGTATTGTTATAGATATATCATATTAATAATGATGAGTTAATATTTATTCAGATAGACGTCGTAATAATTAGCAAATTATCAAAATGACGTGATAGATTAAGAGAGTAAGAGAGTATTGTTATGGATATATTATATTGTCAGGAGAACAGAGTTTCCTGGTATTCCCTCTTAACTTGGCTAGTAGGAGCGGTCGGGACAACAGCGGCGCCACGTGGAATGGAACGTGCCGCGTGAGGAACAGTTTAGGCCTCTCGCTCGAACTCTTGAGTCGACTCGGCGCATGTATATCATAACTGTTATTTTATATTTAAAATCTTTCATATAAAACTAATTATATAAATATTTAAAGTAATTACTGAACCTATTTAAAAAGTTATATGAAATATGTTAAATATATATAAAACTAGACGTATGACCCGGCTTCGCCCGATAATTCCCCCGATTGCAATTTCCTTCATACTGAAATTAATCAATAATAAATATTAGAAGTGCCATAGAATAGCAATACAGAAGTAACATATAAACTACAGGAAAAAAGTGTGTGTGATGGCAAAAATTGTATTATATTAGTGTTTAGGTATTTGTTTTAATTAATATAGTTGATATAAATATATATATTTATATTATATATAATATAAATATATTATAATATAATATAAATATATATAATATAATATAAATGAGTTTTAAAAATTGTAAAAAAAAAATGCATCGGCCGGGAATCGAACCCGGGCCGCCCGCGTTGCCGGCGAGCATTCTACCACTGAACCACCGATGCTTATAAAAAATGGCCATATTTGGGTATTCATTCCATTCCGGATTACTCCGCGTAAAAAAAAGTTTTTCAAATGAAAAAAAGAAATAGCCAAAAATACTAATCAAAATGTAGCCGAAAATTTTCCTCAGGTTTATAAAAAGCGACATGCAAAATTTGGTACCAATTGATTCAGTAGTTTTTGAGTTTATCGCGAAACAGACAGACATTGACTTTTATATATAGAGACATAAGCGTTATGATATACATGCGCCGAGTCGACTCAAGAGTTCGAGCGAGAGGCGTATACTGTTCTTCACGCGGCGCGAGCTATCACGTTCCATTCCTCGTGGCGCCGCTGTTGTCCCGAGCGGTCCTACTAGCCAAGTTAGGAGAGAATAACAGGAAAATATGTTCTTCTGACAATATAAATAATGATGAGTTATAATTTACTCCGATAGATGGAGTAAGCATTAGAAAATTAGCAAAATTTCATGATAGATTAAGAGAGAGTATTGTTATAGATATATTAGATAAATAATGATGAGTTATAATTTACTCCGATAGATGGAGTAAGCATTAGAAAATTAGCAAAATTTCATGATAGATTAAAAGAGAGAGAGTATTGTTATATATATATTAGATAAATAATGATGAGTTATAATTTACTCCGATAGGTGGCGTAAGCATTAGAAAATTAGCAAAATTTCATGATAGATTAAGATAGAGAGAGTATATTGTTATAGATATATTAGATAAATAATGATGAGTTATAATTTACTCCGATAGATGGCGTAAGCATTAGAAAATTAGCAAAATTTCATGATAGATTAAGATAGAGAGAGTATATTGTTATAGATATATTAGATAAATAATGATGAGTTATAATTTACTCCGATAGATGGCGTAAGACATATCTTGTGGTTGTAAACAATATATAGGTGTATGCGTGTATATGTGTGTATATATGTATATATTTTTTAATTTAATGATGTAACTGTAAATAAAATTCAAAGAATATCTCTATATGTAAATAATATTTATGAATCTTTCTAAGTCGCTTTCTGTGTGTATTTTTCCATGTTGAATATTTTCTTTGTTATATTTGTATGTACATTTAGCGCAAGTGTCCCTAGGGGGACATAGATTTTTGAATTGAAATAAATAAATAAAAATGGTGTAAGCATTACCAAAATTTAGTTGCACGTCCAGGAGATTTATTTTTCCTAATTTATATATATATGAAAAAACAATTGAAAAAATAAAAGATAAGTGGGTCAGGTGTTGATATTAAAAAAAAAGAAGGCATCTCCTGACGGAGCAAGCTAAATAAGCGTTTAGCCTATTTTTGCTCCACTAGATGGCGCTCTGCCATCTAAAAAGCACATGTGCTCGTGGTCAGGAGATGCCTTCTTTATTTATATATATATATATATATATATATATATATATATATATATATATATATTTATTTATTTTGATCATTATCAGGAAATATATTGCCTATACCGATAACAACCTAAAATCTCGTTGATCCTCCTTTACGAAAAAAAAAAGACTTAAAACTGCCGACCAGAGAGAGAGAGAGAGAGAGAGAGAGAGTCGAAGGTAGCTTCTGAAGTGTTTATCGTTACCATATTTAATACTCAAGATGATAAGAGAAAACCTTGGTGTGATTGGTAGATAACTTGCCATATTCTACTGATCCATGCACCTTTAGGTTTTATTTTCTAAAAAGAAGTCTAAAAATAAATTTAGATGGAAATATAATTCAGATATTATGGAATAATCCCTTCAACAATATTAAAGAATGGATACCCATATAAGAAGAAAACGTATATATAAAAAGAATTTAAGAAATTTGTCGAATGTTGGAAAATAATTTTTCGAAAATGGAGAAATCCATAAATAAATCCCTAAATTTATATAATAAATGGGGATTAGGTTGTTTTTATTGCAATGACTATTTTCTTTAAAATAGGATTGTCATAAAAAGAAGCTGACATTTGAGATAAGTGTATTTTCTTTTGCGTTCTGGTATTAGCCATTAAAAAAATTCATGCCAGGATTATATATGAATTGAAAATAAAAGGTCGTCAGACTAAGATAAATTTTAAAATATATTCTCTCTATTTAGGATATCATACCTGACTTTAAAATTGCATTCTGTAAATCTTGATTCTATTTTAATCAAAGAGAAAGATCGATATAAATTGTAAATGTTAAGAAAACTGTTATTATTAGATTGGTTAAAGTATGATGGTCAATTTTGTTTGAACGACTCCCTCAAAATCGATATTCCAATTTGAACAAAGTAATAATATAGATGAACCATTTGAATCTTCTTAACCCTTTTTTTTTTCGGATGAGAGATGAGTTTTTTTTATATGCCGATTTCTGGTATTTCTAGTTTTCTGAAGAGGATAAATTCAAAAACGAATTTTTGGCATCTCCTTAGTTTTTGATGTTTTTCTCAGGCAATAAGATGTCAAATGTTTAGAAATATTGTAATTAGTAGGCGAAAGATAGACAAATTAATATATACTAGACGAATGAGCCGGGCAACGCCCGGGTTTACCCGATTAAATGTTTTATTCGAACACTATTCGTTACAATTATAAATTGGCGCCGTGGATGTCACTCTTGTGAAACGTCCCGCTCCAAACTTTACATGTACATTAGGTCAGCTGATATTACCTCCCATCTTCACCGCTAGAGGCGCTGCTCGCGAGCTAAGTAGAATAATTTGAATATATAGTTTTAATAATTGATTTATATATTTTTTAAAATAGCCTATCGTCTTCCCCGTATTTCTTTTACCTATGTATGGAAATTTTGGTTTGAATTAGTGAACTACTGCGAATTTGTATACCGGACATACAAACATACATACAAACATTGATTTATATATAGATGTATATACGGATAAAGAATTCAATTTATGAAGCTTCGGTCGCTTTAACTTGTAGACGGGATTGTTGTTGAGAAGATTGTTTATTTTCGGGAAAATACCATCGATTTTATTACAGCACTTTAACTCTTATTGCTTCGCGCGGCTTCTTTAAGAAATTACTGAAGAATCAGTCTAGGTGCAAACTTCCTGAATGGCACCATTGCTTTATGGTGTGAATTTTTTTTCGTTATTAACTCAGAGGGGTTACCTCATTGACCAATCCTTAAGCTAAAATCCTTAAGCTTGTCGAAAGTTAAACGGTGAAGTATATATGTGATTCTTCTCGTTACGCAAATGTAGCTCCAATGATACTTCAAAATAACGGTTCAAATTTTAATCTTCTATTTGACGATAATTCTAGTGCTCTTATTTCAATCAGATAACGAGATATTTAGATTTATGGAAGTTGAGAAGGTCCACGAATGTACATTAAATTTGTTCTTTCGGTAAATGTACAATGACATTCAAATTTACTTAGCCCCGTGTTGGAGAACCCACAACTAAAGTTTACTTATATAATAAATTCAGAAATATTGAGAGAATATCCACTTTCAAGGATAGTATCTATATGTTCGTTAAAGGCTGTGATATTACGTAAAATATAAAAATTCATTTTAATTTCAAAATATTTATTTTGCCTCAAGCGTAGCATCGAATACCTCTGTGCTTGTTTCTGTCAAAATAAAGGTGTAAGATTTCTGCAAGAGAGACGACTTCTACACCAAACAATAAGCTCAACCTTTACATAGATATTTATAATACAATAACCCTTCTTTGTAAAGATTACGATGCAAGGCTTTAGCAAATAGTTTGAGTAAATAGTTTAATGTGTAAATTTAGTTTACTGTGCAATAAATTGATAAAAAGAGAGCAGTCTCTCGGAATATTTTGAGAAAAAAAATGTTTTCTTTCTTTACAGATCCAGGTACGCTCTTTTTCATATAAGCTTTAGTAAGCATTTTAAAATATGCATTGCAAAAACATTTTAAAATGGATAAAAAGATTCTCCATGTTCGGCTTTTTTCAATGTTTGATTCACCCTCTATCCCGTGCGCGTATTTATAGCCATTAATATTGAAAACCTTATCCATATTATCAAGACTTACAATATTTATGTATATTATTATATCATTTACTTTAAAGAAACAAAATAAATAGAAAACGGTATACGTCACACATATATTATCACCTATATAAACGGTAGCCTATACATATATATAGCGATGAAGCCAATATATATATAAATAATATAAATGCAGACGATATAAAAGCCGCCAAAGTATTTCTTCTTCCAACTAATTGTGTTAGTTATTATATTTGGTATATTACAAGGGATTGATTGAGTTAGTTAAGGAAAGGGAGAGATGATGAATAGGGGTAGGAGGAATAATGGAAGTTGTTACTCACTTGTAAATATATAGAAAATATGCAATGGCGTCTCTGGGAATAAATAAGAGCTTTCTCTTACTACTCAATTACTATAGTTATATAGAGTATGTGTGTGTGTTGTAGAAAGTAAATATGTGATTTCGGTTAATATTCGTCCATATTATATTAAATTCGGATTCATTAGAATGTCATCTGTTATTAGAAATTTAAACTATAGCACGATTGATATTTGTCGTTATTTTATCAAGCGAGTATGGAGAGTGGAAAATAGTTTATATTTAGAAGAATCATATATATATATATTTGGGTCAAAATTTATATAATATATATAAATGTAAATATATATATATATGAATAAGAATGATAATTAATATATGAATATATGAATAATAAAGAAAGGTGAATAATAAATACAGATATATATACGTATATATTTTTTAATTTTCAAAAGAATCATGCCCATATATAATAGTTTCGAATTTTCATAACAGATGGCGCGCAAATGAATCATAATATATATATGTTAAAAGTGATGAGTGTAGCGAACATTTATCCAAATAAGGAGGAGGAGTTAGTAGTCAAATAGGAGGAGAATGGTGTATACAGTTATTTGAATTAAGATTAGGTGTTTTTTTTTAAGAAAATGTATTTATATTTAAGATATTACTCAATTAAGGTCATA